ATTATTAATGGAACATACTTATAGCAGCTCATCTAACTGCTCCAGTACATGTTTCATATTATACAAATACATCTAGAAAAATATTGCTAATATCTCAGTCAGTGTGAAAGAATGAAATCATTGGGCGAGGTGATAGTTCTAAGCAAGCTTTTCCTTCGAGTGTAACCAGCAGTGAACGGTTTTGGACCGAACATGTGGGGTAACGGACGGTTTGTTGACCGAACATGTTCGACAGTAAATGGTTTGGTGACCGAGCATGTTGGTCCGTGAACGGTTTGGGACCGAGCATGTTCTGTAACGAACGGTCAGCTAGTCGAGGCTTGTAATTGTTGCATGCCTAGTTCTCATACTGTGGGGCTATGCGTTAAGGTGCGTGCGTTCGATTTGTGGTTAGGTTGAATCGACGGCGACTTGTCTTACAAGTGACGGGTTTTTTTTGTGCGTTCAACATGCGTTCATGTTGTACGACATAGGTTTTAGTAGCGATTTGGGGCGAAATTCTGAATGGTCCTTCGTAGCGGATATCAAATTTATGTCGCGTATTGAGTATTTTTACAAGAACGAGAACGCCGATTTTGTAGCTGGGAGTAGATCTATCCAAATAGCGTTGTTTATATTTTTGTTGTTGGTCGAGGTTATTTCTCTGAGCATCACCAATTAGACCAGATAGATATTCGTTTAATTGTCGTAAGTGTTCGGGATCTTGGGGTAGGGAAACGAGAGGTGATTGTTGGTTAAATGAGAGGACGGGTTTTCGGCCGTACATCATTTCGAACGGTGTTTGTTCAATTGTTGCGTGGATACTGGTGTTATAACCGAAAGTTACGAATGGTAACTGTTCATCCCAGTCTGTGGGACGTTCCCACAGAATAATCCCACAGAAGTCGTTTACCATCGTATATCTTCGGTCACGAAACCGTTCACTGTGGAACATGTTCGGTTACCAAACCGGTCACTGTCGTATATATTGGATTATCAAACCGTTCACTGTCGAACATGTTCGGGCACCAAACCGTTCAACGTCGAACATGTTGGGTGACCGGACCGTTCACTGTGGAACATGTTCAGTCACCAAACCGTTCACTGTCGTATTTGTTCGGTCACCAAACCGTTCCCTGTCGAACATGTTGGGTCACCAGACCCGTCACTGTCGAACAGGTTCGCCCACCAAACCGTACGTTACCGAACATGTTCTGTCCCCAAACCGTTCATTGTGGAACATGTTCGATCACCAAAGCGTTTACTGTCGTATATGTTCGGTCACCAAACCGTTCACTATCGTACATGTTCGGTGGTGGTCACCGGCGAACATGTTCCGTCACCAAACGGAACATGTTCTGCAGTGAAAGGTTTCGGACCGAACATGGTCCACGGTTAACGGTTTGGTGATCGTACATGTTCCACAGTGAACGGTTTGGTGACCGAGGAGGTTCGGTAAGGAACAGTTTGGTGAACGAACGTGTTCAACAGTGTACGGGTTGGTGACCGAACATGGTCGACAGTGTACGGGTTGGTGACCGAACATGGTCGACAGTGAACGGTTTGGCGAGGGAACATGTTCGACAGCGAAGGGTTGGTGTCCGATCATGTTAGGTCACCAAACCGTTCGTTACCGAACATGTTCCGTCCCCACGCGTTCACTGTCGAACATGTTCGGTCACCAAACCGTTCACTGTCGAACAAGTTCGATAGCGAACAGTTCGGTGACCGAATATGTTCGACAATGAACGGTTTGTTGACGGAACATGTTCGACGTCGAACGGTTTGGTGATGGAACATGTTCCGCAGTGAACGGTTTGGGGCCGAACGTATTCGGTAACGAACAGTTGGGTGACCGATGGTGTTCGATAGTGAACGGTTTGGTGACCGAACATGTTCGTGTGACTGTGTGACTATGGGTTAAGGTACGTTCGTTCGAATTCAGGTATGATTGAATCGACGGTGACTTGTCTTACAAGTGACGTTTTTTACGTGTTGTACGACATAGGTTTTAGTAGCGATTTGCTGCAAAATTCTGAATGGTCCTTCGTAACGTATATCAAATTTATGACGTGTTCGGGAGCTTCGGGTAGGGAAAAGAGAGGTGGTTGTTGGTCAGATGGGAGAACTGGTTTTCGACCGCACATCATTGTGAACGGTGTTTGTTCAGTTGTTGCGTGTATACTGGTGTTATAACGGAGAGTTACGAATGGTAGCTGTTTGGCGCAGTCTGTACAACGTTCATTTGACAGTAGAAACGAAAATTTGATTATTGCACCAATTAGAACATTATTTCTGTGAATATCAACAGCAATTGGAATTAGCCCAAGTAAGGCCTTACCAGTTTTCTATTTGGAACGTGCACAAATGATTTTTGGTATTGGTATAGATGGTGGTAATAATATACAGAGTTAAGTAGAATCGTACTACGAAATATATTTTTGAAAACAATTTTTATGCATCTATCCAGTTTTGTACAGGAAAATGTTATGTTATTTTGGTTTTTTTCACTATTTTCAAACTTCAGAGAGATTGGTTTTTTGTATCCAAAAGATAATTTTGTCGTCATCGATAGAGCACATCGAGTAGTACATATCATTTTTCTTTTGTGCTGACTCTTCGCCTTTCATATTTGTAACTGTGAGTACGTTCTTTTTTCAGTTTTGAATCAACCAAATGTTCTTGTATAGAGTGCAGATTTCTGAGCAACTTTTCCTGCTCAGAACTGCTTTCGTGAAGACACTTTCAAAATCTCTTATTTTACCACAAATAAACACTTTCCAAGTAATTTCAAATTCTTCGCCAAACTTTATTCGACAACCAAGAAAGAGGGTTCTTGGTTTCTCACTAAAGGTATTAATTTAGTGTTACTTTGGAGAATAAATGTAAATCAATCATTTACTTAAAAAATAAAGATAAATGCGTCATTTATATTTAAAAAATAAATCTAAATAAATGAAAAAAAACTTATCTTTAGCTTATAAAAGTAAATGATTTATTTATATTTATTTATTTATTTCTACCTTTACTTTTAAAAATAAAGGTAGAAATAAATAAATAAATAAATGAATGATTAATTATAATAATGAATGATTATTATAAATAAATGAATCATTTACTTTTATAAGATAAAGATAAGTTTTTTTTTCATTTATTTAGATTTATTTTTTAAATACAAATGAATTGTTACAGAAAATGAATTTTGTTGCCTTCGGTATGGTTGAATAAAACTACTCCAGTTATCTACTTAAAACTGATTTTGATACGTCTAGAAGTCACTGTGAAAATCTTTTAATCGTTTGAAAATAGTCCAAAATGAGGAAAATATTCGTATTACTACTTCCGAAAGTTCACAACTAGTTTTCTCTGGCTCCCCTCGGGAAGTTTAAAAAGCTAACTCTGGCTGGCATCTAAGAAACAAACACGCCCTCAAAATATCCCCAAAACGCGCAAGCCGGGCAAGCTAGCAGACCGCGAGATACGCGTCAACACTAAACATTCTAATCAACATCAACGAACAAGTCACTGCCAATCGTTTCGGCAGTTCTTCCTTCATTCCGAACTGCAAAAAGACTTACTCCGAAAAGAACTTCCAAACGATCAATAAACAAACCGCTAACTCGAAAACACGCGATACAGTCCGCCCAAAAACAAAACTAATACCAAAAACAAACGAGGCAAAGCATGAGTGACACAACATCACCAAAACCTCCGTACATCATACACGAATCTGCACCCCAGCAGCAGTATATAGCTACCGACACTCTACAAAGAACAATCACACAAAACTACAAAACACGCGGGTACGGAACATACAACTATGAAACACGACACAAACGCGTCCGGCCAGGTGTCGCACCAAAGCAACCGCTTGCACCACAACGCTACCACCAACGATACACACCGACAACGAAACCCGATACACAGCAACACACCCACCCACCTCTCCGTCAAACACACACAAAATCACCAACTTCAACAAAACTCCAACCCTGATTGGACCAAATTACGAAAAAAACAGAAGTCCCCATGCGTAAAACATGGAAAATGCACAAAAAACCACTAAACCAGTGCCCACACAACGCATATCCAACAGTCCGTGATTGCAGACCGCCACGAAGTTGGTGCCAGCAGATAAAATATGTAAAATTTAGTTTCGGACATTTTTGGTTCGAGAGCCAGATTTGTCAGATGCTTGCTTCACGGCGAAAAGTGTTAATTATCAAAAATTAGCGGTTTTCTCGCTAATTAACGAAACTGATGCCAGCAGATAAAATATGTGGAATTAAACCTCTGACACTTTTTATTCAGGGCTCGCAGATCGGTCCTGCTACTGAGAAAAGTAGTAATTACGTGTTTTTCCTCCTCGAATGTGAATATGTCGCTAATTTACGTTTAAGTGGCGTCAGGTGTCACTACTCTACTATTGTACACGGACGGACGGACGGACATTTCGTTTGTATGACCCAAGACTTGCAGTCAAGGGAATAAATGTTTCATTTATATTCATCCGTTATTATAAATGAACAATAAAACTAAATTAACACTCCTATTTCTCACACGTAGATTCCCGTGAGCTCTTTCGAGTGACATTAAAATCAATTTTCTTCACATTTGAAAATTTTATTTTAATTTTTAAAAAAAGGCAAAAACCTCGAAAAATATTAAGACTTTTGCGACTCGATTTGTTTTTAATGTTCGTAAGACTAAACATTTTATGATAAATATTTTAAACAGTGTTTCACAAAATTAACAAAATGCCAGCGAGTAGACTACATCTTCAAAGCTCACGCATTTTAGCACGTAAATAAGCTTGTATGAAAATGCTTAAGTTTGTATTAGGCGAAGACGTTTTACGTTGGGATCTTTGATGTTTACAGGTTGCGAATGCGTGACAGGACAGCATTTTTCTGATCGTGGGTTCTGTTTTTCTTTGATAGCGTCATTCGTTCTTTCATCCCCTAGGTTATGGAGTGCTGACAAAAAGTGAAAGGTCGCGAGTTGAACGTGAGATTCGACAAATGGTTAATGATATGTCGTTCGAAACTACATCTCCACAATCATCTGCATCCACAACAAAACCAGTATCATCATTACAAGGGCAACAACAACAAACTCAAAAAACCAAACCACCAACGGCATTTAAAAAATTTTGGTTATCAGTTCAACGTCAAAATACCACAAAATCTAGTAAATCTACATCATCATCTACTTCTATTGACGACGAGCTAATGAAATATCGAACCATTGCCACATTAGAATCGACTGATATTATTGAAAACGACAAACCACCAAATGCACTTCAATTTTGGGCCTCCAATTCTTATCAACTGCCTATTTTTTCTAGTCTCGTTCAGCGTTTCTTATCGACTCCTGCAACGTCGGTTGCATCAGAAAGCTGCTTCAGCATCGCCAGTTATTTACACAGAAAGCAACGAAACCGTCTTAGTCCATCAAATCTGGCTCATATTGTCTTTTTAAAAGACAAATTTGACTGTCAGGAGTAAAATTCCAATGAACAGTTTTTCTTTTATTGTTTTTCCTCTTTTTCGTTTTTTTATGTTGTTACATGGAAGATCGCACAGATGAAGAGGCAGTGAGTATTCAGTATTTTAAAGCAATTTACGAAATGCAGTAAGTTTGTATTTGGCATAGTGACTTTATGATGATTCACAGAAAGTGCAGAAAAAGACAACGGAGCACAGTTTTTTTCAACTCTTAGTTCATGATACAAAACACTAATTTCCTTTGTGATGAGAAATTTTGTTTGTTTACTGTTATACTGTTTGAATACTTCGTACCTGTAGATTGTTCTGTTCCAGGTACATTTGAAATAAAACAGCTGAAACGTATAAGCAAAAAATACTTTGAAAATTATGATACACTGCTCAATAGAATATCTACTGAAGCGCGTTATAAGACGTTGATTCATCCATTCAAAAGATTTGTGGTAGCGCAATAGAAGTGATATGCGCTAAAAGGCATTCAGCTCTTCTGCGAAAAAGAATCATCACTTTCGCAATCAATCAGTGGCATCACGTTTCCTCGGGCGAACACATCTGTGTAAGCGAACACGTTCGGTTCAGAATTGTTCTGTAACCGAACATGTTCGGTAACGAACGGTTTGGTGACCCATCAGCAAGTCCAGGCTTGGGATTGGTCACAAGGAACCAATTCCCGGTTACAAGGAAACCGGCGATCGAGGTGAAAGCCTCTCGCCCATTTTGATAAACTGGGAACGCCTCGTAAGATAAGACGTAAACGAATTAAAAAGACTCCCATCAATACCAAATAGTTTTAACTTATTTAGAAGAATGTCAGTCGATAAACGATCGGATGTTTGACAGATCAAAACTCAACCGCTATTTTTGTGTACTTACCTTATTTAGACTGCTGGACAGAAAGTGAGTAACTCTTAATAAACCATCTAACGTTGAAGAACACGGTTTAAACCCAAACTGGATACTACTTAACCATTATGGATGGGCAACAACGCTTTTAACTATAAGTCCACATTCTCCTAAGTTTAATGTAGAGGCGGTTCAATGTTTAGCAAGTCACATCATCACCAGAAACTTCAGTTATAAAACTGATAGTCTATCTTTAGCCAATAAACCAGGCCTGCCCGATCAAAATCAGACGCCAGTATTTTCGACTCATTTCAGTTTATAAAATTTATAATAACTTGACTCTTCTTGATTCTCAAGATCACCTTGCTAAATTAACTTCTAGGACTCTTCGATCATTGCACTCTTATACGGTCGATATACCCTTCACGTCTTTCGAGACTGTTCAGTCATCCTTCTTTTTTGGAGGACTGCAAAAGACTGGAATGCGAAAGACCTAGAAAAAGTTGTTTATATAAATTCTTTCAAAAACTTTAAACAGGCTTTCAAAAAACATCTTCGTCAACTGATGTATTTCCAAACATATGTTTAAAAATATTAAATAAAAGTATTGCTTTTTCTTTCGTATTTTACTAAGTCGTTTTGATTTAGTACCAGCGGTTTAAAAAGGAAATGTTGTTCCTTTTGTTGTAGCTTGTTGTAGTTGTAGCTTTTCATCCTTTTAGTTTTTCATGCTTTTAGCTTTTCATTTTTTCAACTTTTCATCCTTTTAGTTTTTCATCCTTTTAGTATTTCATTCTTTTAGTTTTTCATAATGCGCAGTGCATGACATATAAAGAAGTCACACTATACGTTAACAAACGATCGCGTGGCCTTATTCGTTATCTCCACGATTCCTGTTGATAAGGCCTGCGGTTCAAATCCGCATACACGCGCATCCTTTTTTGTATGCACACTTTTGTTCTTTATATTCATAAAACTACTATTCTCTTGAAGATATAAATTTCTCTCTCATTCTCACGAAAAATCTACAATATCCAGAAAAAAAAATGACTAGATATTCTCGAAAATAAAATAGACCAGAATATCTCAGAACGACAAAAAGCTTCACTTTAGCCTTTCGCACAATACACTATCCTTTAGCGTTTAGACATCTCTGTTGAAAAGTTTTTTCTATCAAAACATTTGCCTTAGCATGTTTCAGAGCCTTTATAATGTATTTAGGGAATTTTATTATTGATTGTGCGGCTTTCGAATAGACACGACTCATCACGGTTACCCGAAATATTCCGTTGTCCGCAGTTTACGTGCAAAACGCAATTTTTCGATTCAAAACCGTGGTTCGTACTTAAATCGCCGTTCATTTTGCTTTTTATTAATGCTGTTCTTGGTAGGCATTCTTGCAATTATAGATGCGTTTATACTCTTAAAATATATTTCGGCTCATTTTCTTTGAGCGAAGTGTACAGCTGGTCCATTTTTTGGCAGTTAAAATGAAATATAAAAAGATGTATTTCAATGACCTTTTACAAACAAAATGTATATTCATCATTTAATCTCGTGATTATCGGATATATTCGCTTAACTGATATTAACGGTCACAGGCATTTAGGCCTGTTCTTAACTTCGACGCTTGACTGGAATACGCATATCATGTGCGTTCACACTAGATGTAGCGAAATTCTATTCTTAATGTACCAATATAAAAATATTTTCGACACAATAGTTTTGGACCAAATTTATAAGGCCTTTCTGTTCCCGATTGTAATTTACGCATCTGTCATTTATTCTTCAACACATAAAACCGATCTCAATCCTATTTTTTCTCTTCAGCATAATTTGCGTGCCTAGTTTTCGAGTGTAAACGTCTAACGGATAAGCATAAGATACAAGGTTTAAAATATTAATGGGATTAACACCTGAATACCTACAGGATAAACTAATAAAAAACACAAATTTCCATCACGCTTTGAGTTCTCAAACATCCAACAAACTAAATACACTCACAGGTTCAAAGAGATTCGAAATGTCTGTTAGGTCGGGCGCTGTCACCAGGTGAAAATCCCTTTTACCGATTGAAAAGTCTAAGTTGATCGAGCAAATAAAACTTTATTTGTATTCAACAAAAACCTATCGAACCTACTAAAATACATCGTTATTTATAGCAAAAAATCAAACATTTAAAATGAACAAAATGATGCAACTCTAAATTAAACCAAGCTAGGATTATCTGAAAATCTATGACGTAATGAAAAGAGATTGAAATCCTATGAATGATGAAATAGTACCTGGAACAGCGTACAAGACCCTTGGTCTG